TTTCGGAGCATAATGTCAAATGCTGCAACAATATATTTCCCTTCGTTTCTTATTTTAGTTAGATATCTTAACTTGTGTTAATAATTGTTATATTGACTAGTGTTAAACTCTAAATGGTAGAAAACACTGAAACTAGAAAACCCTCCAAAACAACTTAACATATAAATAAATGGTTAGCAATTTGAACAAATATAATCGTTATCAATAGAAAAATAATAAGAGTAGATGATAAAAAATAAAAATAAAAACATATGGTAATGCAAAATGGCTGAAGTGTTGAACTATGAGAATGGTAATCTTGTATTTTTAGTATTTTTTGTTCGTTTTTGTTAATTATCTATTACCATATATGTACTATGGTAAATTAAACAAAAGGGTGTATCACCGATCAAAATTAGTATGAAGTCAGCACCATCCTGGCAGACAGATAAACTCATATCAGTTGTTCACTCATCAGCACTCTTTTTTAAGAGTAGTCAGCACTCTTTTCTATATTATAATATGTTTTGTGTCTTAATTTGTGGTAAGCATGCAGTTTCATATTAAACCTCCTTTACGTAATGGTGAAATTTTGATCACCAAGAAGGACGTTACATTTGAGATATGTAGACGAAAGTTTTGTTTCTCCGATAAACGAATTGTAAAAAGGAAGTGCTAAAGAGCATGCATGTGGGGACATTGGTGAAAATAGCTCCAAGAATAAAAACAAAACACTTGAATTCAAACCCACATGAGATGTGTCCCTCCCGAATCCCAATCCAAGCCATATCTTTTCTCCTCTATCTGGGTCCGCTTTTTTTATTAGTATTGCTTACATTTTGATTTATTATCTAATTGAATAACTTGTATATGAAAACAAAATTGAAGAACATCACAAAGAAGTCGTAACATGCCATTTACAATATTCGATACCAGTCTCCACAGACTTTGTACAAATTTCTCTGACAGTTTTGTACGATTTTTTTTGTGTTTAATTCATACAGACAAAATAGTTCTATATTTAAATATTATTGGCATTGGTTGTATTCACTGTATATTTCATTTTTTTATATCAACATATATATCATTGAATAATGACGAATCTGTATTTACCTAGCTTGATAGAGTATTAGAGTGATTGGAAAGAGTTGCATTTTAATTCTGTCAATATTTTCAACGTAGATTGTTAATATAGTCAAAGGTGGAAGCCATTAAGTAAGCAAAATTCCAAGAAATTTTCATGATAATATCCGAAGTATTAATATGCATTATTGTTCAGTGTCTACATTAATACATATACATTTGACTATCTATTATTTATTGGTAATTGGTATGCATCTATTTTAAAGTTCTATTATAAAGAATAAAAAATTATTGGAGACACTATTTTTTTTTTTGGTCAATTCGGAGACACTAATTCATTGTAGAGTTTATATGAGTTTTAAAAAAATGAAGTTAAAAATGAGTGAGTTTGAAAAAACTAACTGATTAACTATACTTCTGATTTTAGGAAAGTCAATGTTGATGCAAGCGCAATGCGAATAATAAGCTCAACTTTAGAATGGAAAAAAAAATTACAGTAAATTTTTATATCAATTTAATCAAAAATTTTAATTAATCAAAATGAAAGATTACTAGTATTATAAACTAACATTCATCATGGGGTTCTTCCAAGTTTCTTAGATTTTTCTTTCACGTTTCTATTTCATTGGTTAATTTCTCCTCTTGATTGATCATTTCTATGTTTTAAACTAAAAATTCTTGTACCTTTGCATAATTAATCCCTATAATGATTTTGATATAGTTGAATTTGTATTCTAATAAATTTGAATAAAGTGTATTATCTGTATCAAGATGGTTGGCATAAACAAAATGGTGTGCAACGTCTAATCTAATCGAAGATTATGGGATTGCATTAAAATAAAAGAAAAAACATCACATTATAACAAAATAAGAAATAATATACAAAAGAGCTCGAAGTAATTTCCTTGCTGCATTAATTAATAATCTACTAACCCTTGACTTTTGTCTGTGCGTGCTAGGATGAAGAACACAACAAAACCAATAGGAGATCGTTCCGTTTTTGCTGTTAACATCAAAAGCTAGTAATGTGTGAATCGCGTGTCTTAAGCACTATAGATTAAGAGACAGCTTGTAAAGTTTCAACCGCCCATGTTTTAGTTGTTGTAGATCATTTGTTTGGACTTTTTATTTAATATGTGTATTTATTTAGTTAAAATAACTGTTCGTTATATAGTTCTATATAACCTTTTTGTCAACGTAAACTATATTTCTATATTTAACTCCTACAAGAAAAAAAATGATATTTATACCCGGATTGCCAACGATGCTAGAATCTAAAATTAGTAAACAAAAGGCCCGGAAAATTAAATATAAAAAATTATAACAGAATAAATGACCATAGTTTTATACTTTTATCGTAACTTATATAGTTAGGAAATTTGTGTGTATTAGATTCTCTTCTCCATAAAATATGTATAACAATGGCAAGTAACACTCGAATTCGGATATATTTTGATGTTTAGCACCTCAGATGACCGATTGAACAAACAAAGATTGCAAAAGAAGTGGATAGTGAAACCAAAATCAACACTCATATGTGGCATAAAAAAAATGGGCAAATGTAATATATGAGGGAGATCTATATTATGGTAACTCATATTGGAAAAAATTACATAGACTGATCAAAATAAGGAAATCCAATGACTCTCAATGTGATCAAAATTACATAGACTGATCATATATATATATATATATATACAGTGTGTGTGAAAGTGACGTGTGTGTTTGTGTGTGTGTGAGAGAGAGAGAAAGAGAGAGGGGAAAGATTTTGAGGAGAGGAACATGTGAAGGCATTAAGAGAAGGTGGGGTTTTGTATTGATGTCTTGTTCTTGGAATGGAGCCACATGGTAAGAGGGACTCTCAAAACACCTCTTTTAGGGGTAGTTGTGATGCAGCCAAATTAGAGCTCTTGCATGTGACTCCATGTGTTTTTTCTTCCCTCACCCATTATTATTCCCTTCTTCTTCTTTTCTTTTTTTTCCCTCTCCCTTTCTATATTTATACACTCTCTTTTATATAACGGATTAGCTTCATGTAAAATATTCTTTATTGCGGTATTATATAGTCTTGTCTTTTTGCGTATATTTCGAAAATACAAAACAACAAATTGCATATGTTGGTAATATCCGTATTCCGTTGTATTAAACAAACAAAAAAAATTGTTGCAAAAAAATAACTACTAACTACGACTTTCAATACACGTGATATATTGTGTTTTGTACTTGAAAGACATGTAGCGAAAGAAAATTGACTTCAAAATACGTTCTACAACATTACTTATACATTTCATCAGCCCTTGTTATACACAAGAACAAACGTAGGACCCACTCTTCTCTTTCTCTAACTCTCTCGTATTCTAAGTTTGCTATATATGTAAGTTTCTCCCTTGTAGACTTTCCTTTGCAGCAAAAATAATTTCCCATATGGAGAGGCAAATCATAAACAAGAAGAAACGAGTATTTTCTCTTGAACCAAATAAGAACCCTAGTGCAGCTTTCACGAGAAAATACACAAGCCACTTAGTTCCTGCGCTCAAGAAGCTCAACATGAACAAGAAATCTTCACAAATCACCCAACAAACCGTGAAGCATGAAGTAGACATGGCTTTGGCTTTGTCTGCTCAAGAATTCGCATGGAGCCGTTTCTTGCTACACAAGCTATCGTCCACGAAGAATCCAACCACTACCACTAGTTCTTCTTCCAATGGAATTCGGATTCCAGAAAGATCCGATAAAGAAGGCGGTGGAGAAGATGGAGGGATAGAGGAGAAACTGAGGGAATTGCAGAAGCTCTTGCCAGGTGGAGAAGAGATGAATGTGGAAGACATGTTGAGTGAGATTGGTGACTACATTAAATGTCTTGAGTTGCAGACGATTGCTCTTAAGTCGATTGTTCAAGATACTACTTGACTGTTAGTTTAACTTTTAAGTGTGGACTAATCATCTCTGTGTGTTTTATTTTCTCTTGTTTTCTGTAAGAACGAGAGCATGCATTATAGTGGTTTTCTTTTCTTTTTATTAATATGGTTAAGGAAATACCTAAATTAACGCACTGGCAGTTAATCATAATTTATACATCTTATAAAAATCGATCTTAAAATCTGATTAATGTTGGTTGTAATGCCAAATAGACTATGTGTTGCCAAATGCCCAAATCAAATCCTTATGCTGTCTTTGTTCCTTACTTTATCGTAATGTTGTGTGCAAATCTCCAAACTTTAGTATTATAATGATTTAAGCTGACAAACTTTGTTTATGTTTAATTATTAACGCATTGTTTTCAGTTTTTATCGTTGAGCCAAAACATTTGAACTTTCAACTAGGAAAAAAACAATCATCCTTTATATTTACAGATATTCAATTAAATATAAGTTTGTTAACCATATATATGATGCATTCAACAGCAGTAATTACAAGTGCACCCTTACTGAGTAGAGCTAATGAAGGCAAATATTATTTTTCAGAAGTTCGAGAAATATAATAAAAAAAAAGAGCAACAATTTTTTTCTTGGGGAAAAAAATACTATAAATATATAAAAAAGAGGAAGTCAGATGACAAAATGTAACTATGCAAGTCATATAATATTGATTTGAAGTCATCATCAGTATCTTCGAACGTGTCTCAAACTCACTCGCACTCATCTAAATCTCCATTTATTCTTGCCGTACTAGTACACACAACTTGTCTGATGTCATGTTTTAGAAAAGTGTTTTTTTATTTGATTTTGGATTCAATGGGCAAAAAAAAACTCATGTTGCTTATTTTCCTTTTTCTCGTAATTTCCCTTTTTAAATTGCAAATTGTTTGTTGTCCTTGTCCTTCGGCAGTTTTATAAGTTATAACATTAAGGTCCACAATAGCTTTTTCTTTAGTTTTATATTTTGTGCTGGTTTATAAAAGTAATTAGGCAAATGAAAATAGGAAGCTAAAAATTGGATTAAGAAAAAGAAGAAGCTTACGATTACATAGGCTCATGGAATAAGAGCAAAGAAGAGAGCGTGTCTAAGTGCCAAACACAAGGCATGCCTTGTTTCTTCAAAGGAGCAAATTTTGCAATAGTACAAATTTGAGAATCATGTAAAGAAACAAGAACACTAACAATAAGATTTGGGAAGAGTTATGGCAATAAACAAAGATCTCTCCCTATGTAAACAATAACCTTAAAAGAGGTGGTGAAGAAAAAAGAAGAAGAAGAAAACAAAAACAAGAGAAGAAGATCAATCATATGTTTGGTTTTTTCCTTTTTTCTGCGACTAGACAGTGTAGTGTCCTGGAGTTTCAATGTCTAGACCCTTTAGCTTCACTACTGATTCCACATGTCCCTTGAGTGTGTGGAGCTCCCTAAGCCTGTTATTAACATATCAAAAATCAAATCAGTGTTTAATTCCAATAAATGAATCGGTAATAGTCCAAGGCTGAGATAAAAGGCTTATTTACCTAGCGATCTCCGCTCTTCTCTTGGCTTGCTCTGCGATCTCAGACAATTCTCTGTAACTTCCTTTCTCAGGGAAGATGTTAACAGCTTCTTTTGGCTGCAAACCGTGAAGTGTCCTTTGAGCAAGTGCCCATTGAGCCTCTCTCTCTTCTTTTCCGTAATCCTTCTTCATCGTGAAAGCCGTCTTGTTCTCAAACAAGTTGAGCCAAGCCTTTCCACTCAAGATGTATCGAATGGCAAACTTGAAAATGTCCTGTGGGAAGTATGTTACAATACTGTATAGCCAGATCACTCCAGCCCATCCCCATCCGATACCCCTAACCTTTGCAAATCCCCAGTTGGCATAAACTGCAATCAAAGTGGCAATCTGCATTTGGGAGAAACGAATGAGTTAAACAGGTTTCCTTGAAGACCTTTACTTAATAAAGGTATCCCCTAAAAAATCTGGAGCTTTGATGATCTTACCAGTTGTGCAATGAGGAAAGCAATCATCAGTAACGCTCCAGGACGTTCAACAAACGACCAACTCCTTGATCTTGTGACGAAGATCAGAGCTTGACTAATGATACTAACTTGTAGATACACCGCACCCATTAGCTCGTGGTTATTGTCCCTAATGGACCTCACACCAAACGTGTCCTGTGGATCAAAAGTGAAAGTTAGCTTACCACTCTGAACATTATTAGCCAAGAATGAACTGATGAAAAGAGAATTAATCAGCTCAATTATATATACCGAGAAAAAGTCTGTCTTGTGTGCCGCCCAGAAGAAAATGACCGTCATGATGGCTTGGTAGCCTCCAAGCACAACTCCAGTAGCGAAAATTTCTCTGAGTTTCCAGCTATCAGGTGTGGGAGATGGCTTGACTCTGTCCTTTGAGATTGTCATGATGGTACCTGTTGTTAATACCATAAGATGTAAGTAACTTGTTACGGAAAAAATAACGGATTTGAGGTTTATACAAAACGACAGTCTTTCTCACCATCGTTAAGAATGGCAATGATCAGAACCATGAATGCTGAGAAGTCAAACTCCCATATCAGAGCAATAAGCATGAAACCAAATACAATACGGATTGTGATTGAGACTGCATAGATAGTATAGTTCTTCATTCTTTGGAAAATAGCTCTGCTGGTGAGAACTGCACTGATAATGACGCTGAGTCCAGGCTCAGTGAGAACGATATCTGAAGCACCCCGAGCAGCATCCGTAGCATCAGCCACAGCAATACCGATATCAGCTTTCTTCAAAGCAGGAGCATCATTGACACCATCACCAGTCATTCCAACAATATGCTTCCTCTCCTGCAACTTCTTCACGATCTCGTATTTGTGCTCTGCAATATCAAAACAAAGAAAATCTTAGATTTAACATAACCACATTTGCAGTGAGAAATTATAATCCAAAATAGTAAATAGGAGAATAAGAACCTGGGAAGACTCCGGCAAACCCATCAGCCTTCTCGATCAACTCCTCAACGGGAATGGATGCAAGGTTTGCGTCCTTGTGAGTACCAAGAAGAGCCGAGGACGGGTACATGTTTGTTCCCATTCCAAGTCTGCGACCAGTTTCCTTACCAATAGCAAGTTGGTCACCTGGCCACATACGTCGTCAAAGTCAATGTTAGGGACGAAATGTAAAAGTGTATAGTTACCACGATAAGATCGATGAGTAAGCATCATTACCAGTGATCATCTTGACATTAACACCAAGGTTCAAAGCCCTTCGAATGGTTTCAGCACTGTCATGTCTTGGGGGATCAAATAGTGGCAACAAGCCAACAAATTCCCATGGTCCACCTGGGCTTTCTTTTGTTTTCTCTGGCACCACCTAAAAAGAGGAGATAAAAAACACAGACAATTGAGCATTTGTTCACCACGCAGAAAAGAAAAAGAAGACTGAAACTAAGAGTATCACTGGCAAACAAGTACCTGGCGAGCAACAGCCAACGACCTAAGACCACGCTCGGCATACTTGTCGATAATAGAGAGCACCTTCTTGCTAAGGTCATTGCTGGCTTTGGCAAGTTCAAGGATCTGTGTAGGATAAACAAATTAGTCTAAAGAAAAACAGAAAAAACTAACATTTGCTAGTAAAGGTTGAAGATTTATCACCTGCTCAGGAGCACCTTTACTGACTCTGTGCCAGTTACCACTTCCGTCGATGTAAGTCAAAGCGGTTCTCTTATCCACAGGGTTGAATGGAAGGAAGTGAACTTCCCTGATTCCAGCTCGAGCCTGCAGAAATCACAATCAAACATAAGAACTTGTTTCTTGGACGCTCATTAAAACTACATATGTAATTCGAACCAGAAAGAATTATATACCTCCTTTGGATCAGCAAGCATCCCAACCATGGCTGCATCAATGGCATCCTGGTTCTCAACTCTTGAAGCCATAGCCGCAAATAACAAAACTTGATCTTTCTCCACACCCTTGCAGAAAACCTCCACCAAGTTTTTGTCCACGCTCAATTTATTGAGGGTAAGTGTCCCGGTTTTGTCACTGCACAGGACATCCATCCCAGCCATTTCTTCAATGGCAGTCATACGCTTGGTGATGGCACCTTGCTGAGACAACCTGTGAGATCCAATAGCCATGGTGACGGACAAGACCGTGGGCATAGCAATGGGGATACCACCGATCAAGAGGACCAAGAGATTATCAATTCCATCTCTGTACTTTCGGCGTTGGATCGGGTACATGACGATAATCTCAATCACCATACCAATGGCAATGGAACAGATACAGAAGTTACCAATGGCTGTAAGAACCTTCTGGAAATGTCCAACTTGGTTTGTGCTGTCCACAAGATGAGCAGCTTTACCAAAGAAGGTGTGAACCCCTGTGGCAATAACAACCGCCTCGATCTCTCCTTGTTTGCAGGTTGAGCCAGAGAAAACTTCTTGACCAGGGTGCTTGGTCACAGGAAGGGACTCTCCGGTAAGAGCAGACTGGTCCACCTTTAAAGGATCACCTTCAAGAAGACGAGCATCGGCAGGGATAATGTCTCCAAGCTTAATGCTAACAATATCTCCTGGAACAAGAATAGCAGCTTCTTGTTCACTCCATTTCCCATCCCTAAGAACCTGAAACAGAGAAACATCACAACAACAAGAACCCAAACCATTAGCTCTATAGAAAGTTAGAAACTTTGGTACATTGTTTACAACCAACTTGACAGCATTCTCTATGATATTCACCTTGGTTTTAGGAGCAAGACCAGCCATGAGAGCAGCAGCGGCATTACCGGCATTGTTTTCTTCGATAAAACTGATGGTAGAGTTGATAACCAGAAGACATATGATACCGACAAAATCTTGCCAATCCGGAGGCCTACCATCACCGTTGGCCAAAGCAATAGCCATGATTGCAGCAGCTTCCATGACCCATGAAAGAGGATTCCACATAAACCCCAAAAACTTGAGAATTTTGCTTTCCTGTCAATTGATTTCATTGCGCAAATACTCAGTAACAAACAAGGAGAGACAAAACTATTTGCTTTTAATCTGAAAGTAAGCAAAGTTGAAACCTTTTTCTCTTCGAGCTTGTTGGGGCCAAAGATCTGAATCCTGTCTTCCCCTTCCTGAGTCGTCAATCCTTCCCTCGAACATTTTAGCTGCTGGAAAACTTCCTCAATCGGAATTTTCTCCTGCAGAATCAAACCAAAACTCGATCAGACATTCAACATACACAAGACTGATTCTAGATCTCCAAAAAAAAAGAGGAACCTTTGTCAAAGCAAACAAAGAAATCTTTTTCAGTTCATTTGAATTAATTGAAAGATCCCATTTTTAGTTCATATAAGTAACTACAAGCTGCAACCGAGTCGGTTATGAGTTAACTCGTGACTCCGCGAGTCGGAAGAAATTTGCAAACCAAGGTTGACTAAAGTCGTTGACTCGTTCGGTGAAAGTGAAAGATTTGGCGAGGAAAATTGCGGTGGAGAGGTGGGGACCGCCACCACCGACCAAGGAGATTGGGACGTCTAATACACGCGCCGCGAGATTCCCTCACTTCCGGCGCGAAAATCGAGGGTTTGTTTAGAGTCCGGGAAATGAAAAGGTTGAATTTTTATTTTATCAAAACAAAACTTGATTTGGTTGTCCCAAGAAATTCACAAAGTTAAGACGTCTCCACAAAAGATGTTTATTTTCTGGTTGGTTGCTAAAAAGTGGGGAAGTTGAACGTACCACGGAAAAGTACATAAAAGAATCTGAACTTCTTGTTTACAGACAGATTAAAACCATAAATTATTTTTTCATTAAATCTTATGATTTCATTGTCCTAACTAAAAAAAAAAAAGAAAAGAAGATAATATTATAGTAGAGAAAGAACAAAAAATAAAAAGAGAAAATTACAAGTGTAGATTGGACTTTATTGAAACGTAGGTAGCTCCACCACTAAAAGAAAGAAACTCTACTTCTTATCTTTTTGTATGCTCACATGCTTAGATCTACTTTTTTTTTCTTATGAACAAACTCTGAATACATGTAAACGAAAATTTTAATTATTTTTGCTTACAACATAAAAAAGGTCCCAAATTTTTCTAAAGATTCCTCTGATCTCAATTTAAATCAATTAAAAAACGAATTTTTCCGGGGAGGGAAAACCTGGAACAAAATGACTTGTGCACTCCAGGGAAAAAAAAACAGAGAATAGTGTGGGGAAAATAAATTAAGCAAAGAGACCGAACATCAAATGCGAAATGAGAGTAACGAAACCAAAATCAAACTAAATAACCAAGAAAAGCCTTCACAACGTACAGATCTGTTTTCATTCGAGCAAATCATGAAATGAAACTTGTGGACATGATAAACAGAGAGAGAAGAGAGAAATGGTGGATAAATTTCATACCAGATCAACAGTCTCGTTCTTGATATCCTCGAGACTCGACATCTCTCCCCTCCTTCACTGATAAAAAAAGGCCTTAAACGGCGGCGAATCAGCACAAAAAACGACAGCTATTTCCGCCGTTTCACTCGATCATAAGGATTCCGGCGAGAGAGAAGGAGGAGGGAGGATTAGGTGAAGCGAGCTTTCTGTTGCAGAGTCGATACAAGTCCTCTTTTTATACCACTAAAAACGACGAATTTCTCCGCCGTTTAGTTCCTGTGGGTCCCTACAAGTAGTCTCCATTTGTTACCCCTTAATGATTTTTATTTAATTTTTTTCCTCTTTTATTTTGGGGTTGTTTCTTTTGGCCCTTAACCCTTTGACCGTTGATTAGTAGTGTATTGCCTTTTGATATCGTTCAAATTCATCATTAACCCCCGAATCAGTGTTAATATCTATGGGTCCCAGTTTCACTAAAATTATGGAATCGAAACTTATGAATACTAACATTTCTATTTTTAGTTATTACTCCAGTTTTATTACACGCACACACAAAATAAAGAGTTGTGCAATATTTTGTTTTGTCTTTCATATTTTTGTTTGAGATATTTTTTTCTTGAGAAAAGGCTTTTCTTTGAGATATTTATCAGTTTATGATATCAAAACCCAAATGAGGAAGTAGCTCATAAGAAAATTAATTTGCAAAATCTCTTTTTAAATTCAATGATCAAAGAGTTTGGTATTGTATTCCTCTTAATGAATCGTTATATCAGGAAAGAAATATTTGGTGGAGGTGTACACTACTGGGAATTTATTACATTAGATTGACAAAGCAACATACTTCTTGCTGCTTAGCTCATCCTTTTACTTTATTTTATTTTTATTGCCACCTATTAGATTATATACTTTAAGTATGAAATATATTTCTCTATGTTCAACAATATCTTTTAATATAAGTACATCATTCTTTTTAATGGTTTTAGGTCCCTATGTTCTATATCTTAGAAATTACGGGCTTACTTCGATTTTGTTTTTCTTTCTTCTTTCTCAACAATGCGAAGACTCAACATTTCTTATAAAAATTTTCCAAACCAAACACGTTAAATCTTGACATTTTGATAGAAATGCTTCCTAACAAAACTATTGACCTTGATATAGCAGGTGGTCTGATTAGCTGAATTTGTAAGAAAATTAGTAATTTGTTTGCTTACTAATATCTTACATTAATTATCAAATGTTGTGTATAACACAATAGAACATGCTACTCAATATGTCGGATTCTGCACTGACTTGGAATCAACTTGGATGGGTTTTTAAATTATTCAGATTTATGGAAGAATTTAATTTTGTAATATATATGTGTATTTATATTTTTGTGGCCCTAACGGGTGGTAATGAAAAAAATTGGCTCTTCCAAGGTGCCTCATGGCAAGGTCAGCAATGGGAACGATGTCACATGTAGTGGATGGTATTTAATTTATATAATTTCGAGAAAATAATTGAATAAATACTCATAGTGTTAAATTAAATTTGTTCCCTGTGAAGATAAACTGATAAATTGACTTTTGATCGTGATGGGTCCCCCAATAATAGAAGTTCGTCATTTCTACTCTTTACGTTTTAACTTCTTTTTTTCCCCAGGATTCATGCTATCTTTTGTCAAAGGATTTACAAAAAAGATCAGAAGTACGGACGGAGTAGTTGTTAAATTTAGAAAGATGTTATTGCCTTAAGAAAAAAAAAATGTAATGTTTAGCCTTTAGTCAAAAAAATGGTAATGTTTATAGAAAAATCATATATATTCAACTACGAAATAATATCTCATCAGAATCACTGATCAAGACAGAAGAGTTGAAGACAAGGTTAGAATCAGCGGTGCAATTTCTAATAAACCCGATGCGTATATTTATTTGTTGAATTTTTTTTTTTTTGAAAAGCCATATATAATCACTAGTCGAGTCCTAAATAACCACGGAGTTTACAGTACAGAAAACCAATTTTGTTGACCTCTTTAAGAAATTTTTTTTTTGAGCCATTCATTTCTTTTCCAGAAATTGTCCTTTCATTTAAATTAAAAGTCTCCGTTTTGACTTGGTATATTCTCATCTTCGATTTGTCTTCGACTATTAACACCTGCATTGAAAAACAAAATACATGTTTTCGTTTTTTTGTAAATGCTAGAGCTTGACTTCGTCATCGATTAGATGTATGTATATGAATGTATACAATATTAAAGTTGGATCTCTATTATATGTAACAACGTGTCTAGCCGATTATTTGTCTAACTCCAGCACCTCTCCAGATAATCTTTAAATCTTTGAGTAACCTCGCATTTAATCATGGAACGCAGATTATAGGGTGGTGAATTGGTGATGATTCCAAAAATCAATAATAAAACTAATAATTACTGTGAATATTAATTGATTCAAACAATGATCAGGAGATACGCGGACTATGAGCTTGCAATCACGCTTGTTACTAGATAATTGGTCTAACGTCTTACAAATAGTCTTCAAAATTAACAGATCTTTGTATTTTCTAATTTAGTTACTTACTTACTGTAGGTAGTCCTAAGATTTCACAAGGGTTAACCAATCTCACAAATATGTAAAATTATTGTTTATGTTATTTCGCCATTCGTGATTTTGCAAATGTATGTATTAAGTATAGATTATAGGTCTTTCACCCACAAAAAAAGATTAAATCAATTTTTTAATCACTTAACTCTACTACTTTTGTTTTGTCAAAAGCATGTATCCTATGCAAGACATTGAAGCATTAACGACGTTATAACCCATTTAGATTGCATTTTTTGCATTACATTTTACACTATGATTTCTTTTATATTTTAAAAAATAATTGCATGGACTTTCATATATAGTACAACATATAGAACTATAACTTGTTGAAAACTACATAAAGAAAGAGAAAAAAAACACACAGTTTTGGGTATCTCTTTGCCTTTGGCATTATTTTTTTACCAAAACCTTTGACATTTTTCATTAATTATAATATAATTCGTGCATTTCCTAAATATATATATATATATATATATCACTATCATGAAGGTGATGTTAAAACTGTGTTATATTATTATATACTACTATATGCGTCACGATTCATAGTAATAGTCTTCTATAAAAACGAGAATTATAGCACGCAATTTTTGACGATTTAATTGAGGAGTCATGATCTAATTACTACGTACGGTCATAAAGAAGAAAACATATATCGGTTTCATCATTGACTTGTAATTTTTTTTGTCTTTAACCTTTATTCTTTGAAATAATAGTTTTATAAAAGATGATGTATATAGATAGTATCTAGGAAATTCATAAACGGACGATGATACATTTAGTAGCACGCTGAATTTTGGCAGAAAATTGAAATCATAATCCGTAATATTTGAATGTAGTTTGAGATTTGAATTTAAAATACAAAATTGTCTTTGTTATAACACATATCATATATGGACTCTTATACCGGCCCATTAGGCCCATCAAGGCATTGTACTTAACCTAGATTTCCTATATACTCTATATATACATTCCAGTGATTAATAAAGTTTCTAAGTTTTCACAACACGTTATCAGCATGAGAAGACTCTCTGAGCGAAAAACTCTAATAAATCCGGCCACCACCAAAACCCTAAAAGCAAGTCGAAACTTAAAAGACGCATATCTTCCAAACCGTGAGGAACCAGAAGACGATCTACATATCAAATCGAAGCCCTCGACGAGACGAATCTACTGGTGAAAACCGTTTGTCGATCCAACGTCGGACGCGCCCTCACGCACACTTACAGTACACGACGATCAACCGAAAAAAAAAAAAACCAGATCCGAGTTTTTCCTTCTTCAACCAGCAGCTTCTCCAGTTTTGGTGATCAATCCTTGGAATTTGTAGCGGCTAACTGAGGTCTATTAGCTCCCAGTTTCATTAGCCTGTCAGAAATCCAAAGGTGGAAAAAGTATCTTCTAAAACTGAGAGCCATAGAACCTGTTGTTTAAACACTTCAAAACCCAAAAAAAAAAAAAAAAAAAAAAAATCGATCTCTAATTGATTGAAAGTGTTTGATACTCTGATGATTGATTGATAACTTGTTGATTGATTGTTTAAATTACAAGTTTATGCATGTTCAAAGGTTTTAAACTCGTTTTATAAAACCCTAATCTACAAAAACCTAACAACCGTTTTGGCCATGTTTATGGCATAAACCTATTCGATTTTCTTCATGTTTAATAAGCTTGTTGCAGCTTATTTGATTGTTGATTCTCTTGCTTGAAACACTTGATTGAATAAACTAAGAAAATCAACCCTAAATCCTAAGCTTGATTCACGATTTTGTAATCTTCAAAATCGTAAGTCATAATGCTTAAACCCTAGTCCTTTTCACGTGATTTCTTTGTTGTCCTTGTGAAATTATTAAAACCATCGACCACAGATCCTATAGATCTCGAAATCACATCCAAAATATGTTTTCCAAACCGTTAAAACCCTAGATAAAATCCTAATCATATTCGGCTCCCCTAGGGTTCCTCCTAAACCGCCTAAAACCGGCTAAATCTGGTTCTCATTAACCGAAATTATATTCGGCTTTAACCGATTAAATCACAGCTATTAAACCGACATCATGTTCGGGGTAACTAAAACCATACCCTTTAAAATTTACTATTTCCGAGAAAGTTCCCTCTAATAGAAAGTTTCCTCATATAAAAACTTTCCTCATATAGAAATTTTCCCGACATAGAAACTTTCCTCATTTAGAAAATTACCCAAATTAGAAACTTTCCAAATTTAGAAACTTTCCTAAAATAGAAATATTCTCAAAATAGAAAGTTTCATCATCAGCATTCAAAATTTTCTCAAAACAATCCCTAACAAAATCAATCTCATGTTTCAGATGTCAAACATTCAGAAATGTGAATTCGAGGCCCTTCACGTCTCCGGGGATAACTACCTCGAGTGGGCCCTAGACATGCGCTTGTTCCTTGCATCGAAAGAACTCGATGCGTGTATTACCGACGGTAACACCGCATCCCGTAAGGGACAATCTCAGGCGATATGTCACATACGCCATCATCTGGCCCCGAGCCTTAAGCAGCAATATCTCACTCTTGAGAATCCACTTGAATTGTGGCAAGCGCTGAAAAAGCGATATGACCATCAGAAAATGGTCCAGTTGCCTCAGGCAGATTTCGACTGGAAGAACCT